TTTGAAAGCCAATAGAATTAGACTGTATTCAAGAGAGTCTATTCTATTGGCTTTCAAAAGCCAATAGAATAAAAGGGAGTAGCACAGCTAAGGAAAAGGGGGGAAAAATGGTGGACTGCGTTGTTTGGCGACCCCCGTGAAATGGTCATTCGACCCCAAATGGGGTCCCGACCCACAGGTTGAGAACCACTGGTCTATATAGTTCAAGGCACAATGCTGAGAAAGGTATAGATTTTAATCCAGAATGTTCCTACTACAATGATAGCTATTTTGAAAAAGGACTGGAATTCAGAACATTCTTTACCTCTTGTGAACATCTTTTCAGGAAGGTAAAGTGGAAAGCTGATGAATTTACAGTGACGGTTTTCTATGTTTTTATTATACTTACAGCAGAGAAAAGGATTATTCCTTGGAAAATCTGCTCTGCTAGTTTTTGGCCTTTGTAGTCCTGTGGAAAAAGAAAAATAGCACCAATATTTTCCCCATTCTTAAATATTATAGCTTACACCAGACATGTCAAACTCGCAAAGTCACGTGACATTGCGCAACGTATTGGGCCTTTTTCCCCATTGCTGGCAATGGGGTGGGCGCAGTTTCCCGGTGATGCATCTGGCCTGCGGGCTGGCAGTTTGACACCCCCGGCTTACACTAAGATTTCTGATAATGTAATAGGAATAAGAGCTGAGAATACATTTAAAAATAAACCCGAGGAAGAGTTCTTAAAAATAGATATTTCTACTGAATGTGAAAGAACAGTTGAGTATATTTAGAAATGCTGTCAGAGTACAGTTCATTTCTAATTGCTGTTGTCTGCTAAATAAATTAACTATATTTACCCATCAACTTACATTTGACTTTTGTGACATCTTTAGGCACAGCTAGCTATTATAGCCTCTAAGTAGTGATGTCAGCTCACTTCTTGAAAGTTTAATATGCTCGTCAAGTTTTGTCTAACCAGAGGATGAAAAAAAGATTTTGCTTTACCTCTCTACAAAGAATTTTGTAAAATTCTTCAGATATTTGTGTTCTGGCTAGGTTTGCACATTCTATTAATATTTAATGTGAATATGTAAACTTAATCATTGTGGCTTAAGTAATAATTCATAGTCACAGCAAATCATAATTTGATTCAATGTGTGATTTTAGTTAATTGAAGTTAGCAGAATTCAATCAGAACTGAAGGGAATGGACTAGTTCATTTTGGTCCACTCATTTATACTTATTTGTTCAATTTGTACATCTTGCACATGTGACTAGGTGACTCACAGTTAAAACTCAAAAAACAAATACAAGTAAAACAATAATTAAAACACCATTAAGCATTAAAACCATTAAAACCCTAAAAAATAATCTGCAGGAGAATGGCATTCATCTTATGAACAACATAACCACTGCATAGGTTGCATGCTGTCACAGGACATGCCCCAAACATGGCAGCAGAGCCTGTGTCTTCAGTGCTTTCTAGAAAGTTAATAAGGTTTGGGCCAATTAAATCTTGGATGGGGGGGGGATAACATTCCAAAGCATGGGTGCTATGGCAGAAAAGGCTTGTCTCCTGGTTCTTGTCAGATGTAACTCCTTTGAAAGGGAAACTATAACATATAATGGGGCAAATAGATGTTAAGTTGAGGTGGTCCCTCCAAAAACTATCCTGTGTCATCTAAGGCTTTACTTCATTAGCATCACCTTGAATTGAACCCAAAAGCAAACTGTTAACCATTGCAGCTTGTGGAGCAGTAGTTTAACATGCTGATTATGGCTGATCAGGTAACATCTATAATTTCTTGCACCACTGCATTTTGCACCCAGTTGCACCTTCCATGTGCTCTTTAAGGGCAGCCCATTTTAGAGTGCATTACAGTAATCCAGGGCATGAGTGACTGAGAGCAGAGTTTCCCAAGCCAGGAAGAGGTGCAAATAGTGCATAATCCAAAGTGGCTCAAAGGCCCTCCTAACTACAACTGCCATCTGCTCAATAAGTCTAGAATGACCCCAGATTGAGCATAGGCTCTGGGGCAATGCCTCCCCATCCAGTACCAAAGATGTTAAGTTCCCAGATCCCGAAGGCCCCCAAACCTGAAGCCACTTGATCTTGCAAGGGTTAAAGCCTGCTGTTCCCCAACCTCCAGACATCTAAATGCACAATTTTGTTTCAGCCTCATATCTAGGCCTGAAACAAACTGAAATGGGTTAAAATAACCACTTCATCCAAGATCCTCTGAAGCTGTTGCATGATCACCTTTTCAACAACCTTCCCTAAAAAGGGAAAGTTGGACACTGTCTGAAAATTATCTAATTAGGTTGGCAGCAATGACTTCTTGAGGTGAGGCAAAACAATGACTCTTTAAAGGGTGGAAAAACAACCCCCTCCAAGAAGAATTAACCATCTCTAGAACCCAGCCATATAGGTTATTACAGGGGTCCCCAACCTCTGGTCCATGGACTGGTACCAGGCTGCGGCATGTCAGTAACGAGTCCGCACAAACAAGCAAAGCCCCATCCGTGGGATGCAGGCAGCACACAAAACCACGCACTCTCCGGTCCGCAGAAAAACCTTTCTCCATGGAACCAGTCCCTAGTGCCCAAAAGATTGGGGATTTCTGGATTATTACACTAAATAGGAACTAGAAAGAGAAGGAATAAACATTTAATGCCTAAAGGAAAGAAGGAAAGAAATGTAAACACAAGCACAAGCCTTGATAATTGTAAAATAGAAATTCTGTATGGAAGGACTGTAATCCCTGCCCAACTTCGTTATGTAAACAGTATTCATGTGTTCAGACTTTTTAAAATATTTTATATATCACACTTTGGATGGAAAATAACAATAATGTCATTTAGTGAGACCTAGTAGGCATGCCTTCTTGGTGTTGGCCCTTGCCTTTGGAATGATTCCTCTTCTCAGTTTGACTGAATCCTACAGGGCATTAGAAAGGCAATTCAAACCTGGCTCTTGGGTCAAGATGAAAAATATATTGCTCAGTACCCATTGGAAAGATATATTCTAGTTTGCTCGCCAGTTCACATTTTTGGTTTTAGTGATGTTACTTTTACACTGCATAGTTAATGCTTTTGTAAGCCATTTTAACTATCTAATCACTAGGAGTTGAAAATGATTTGATGGTACATAATCAAGCTACCTATGTTGAATCATGTTGTTTGGATATGAGTGGCCATATAAATGCTCCAAATAAATAATCAAATAAAACAATCAATTGAATAAGTCTAGTCAATTTGGAAAACAAGAAGAAATTAACAAGTCTAGTCTGCCCAATTTATGGTAAATGTCAAAAAAGATTAGGATGTTTAATGCTCTATCAATAAATCCAACTGAGTTGGCACTCGCATACCACAGGGATTAAATTTATTCATATCTAAATGTCCCTTTAAATAGTAGAGACTTCTGAGGGAGAAAATATGTTCAGCAGCACCTATTTTATCTATTATGTCAGTAGTATGTAATATCTCCTTATTTACCTAGGTCTTTTATTTATTTGTTAAATTTATTTGCTGCCTATCTCTCTGTGGGGCTACTCTAAGCAGCTTTAATGAATTTAATCAATGTAATATTTTAAATTTAGTGTTTCAATATTTTCCAAGGGCGATGTTTGATGTTATCTTTTTGAAGTAGAATTCTGTGTTAAATATGTTTAACTGATTTTAGCATGGTACTGGTTGTTAATTTTGTTTTACCTACGCTATCCACCAAATACATTATGAGGCAGCTGATAAAATCCTACCGAAACAAAAACTTATTTTGGAGTATACAATTTAGGTACTGAAACTCGAGACAATAATTCAAAAACAGGGAGGGGGACAGAGGACGTAGAACAACGGAGCCTTTCGTTTTGTATTACGAACCGAAAATCTTTCCGCCTAAATCGGCACCTACAGTCATCGGACCTTCGGGCGCCTCTATTTAGGACACGTCTCCTTATCAGCGCAGACAGCCAGGCAGTTCCCATTTGGTGCCTGGATGCTTTACCACTTCCTGCCCGACCTGAAAGTCGGGTGGACGGCACAATTCTGTCCTGCACTAGCGGGGGGTGAGACGGAGGCAAGTCCCGGGACGCCACCGTCTTACCATCTGCGTCGGAATGGATCGGAAGAAGTTGAGCATGGTGCCCGGCGGAGCAGCGGCGCCTAGATCTCTACAGCCGTCAGCGCTTTCCGAGAGGAAGGGAGGCAGCGGAAGCTCCTCGGCTCTGCAGGGAGGAAGCTTGCTCTCCGGCGGCTGGAAAGAGTCGTCTTGCGGGTTGTCGTTGGAGGCTGGACAGCCAAGCGAAGAACAGTCAACGGGCGCTTCCGGCTTCTTGATCAAGACGGCTTTCTGCCGTAAGGCGGGCGCTCTTGAGCATACCGGATTAGACGTCCTCTTGCCCCGCCTCATCATTGTTGAATTTCCGGTTCGGCTTGGGTGGGGTGTGGGGGCCGTTCCCCTCCTGGACTCATTCCAGAAAAATGGCAATTCCGCCGATGGATGCTGCCGTCTATCGGTCGGCTGGCAATAGCGCTATGACGTCACAGGCCTCGGCGGAATCTTAGTTCGTCACCATGACAACACGCGCAGCAGGCCTTTCCCACCCTTTTCTTTTCGTGAGAAACGGGTCTTAGTGAAGGTGGCGTCTAGCGTGTTGCCGCTTTGTTTTTTTTTTTCTACCACGAAAATGGATGTAGTTATGGAGACATGTTTGGCATTAACGCTTTTGTGAACGCGCTTCTTTACGTATCGCCTTTTTAAAAAATCAGGCACTTTGATAGGCACCTTTTATTTTTTCAGCTGTTGATTCACAGTACTTGGTGTTGAGTTGGCAATTCGCGCGTGGCTGCCAAACTGTGCAAAGGGAAGGGAGGAATAGAAGGATCTCTGTATTGTGGGCCAGCAAGTAAGACTCGTGGGAATAGACCTGCCTGTTTGCCGTACCATGGGGGTTGAACTGCTGGAATGGATCTGAAGTGAATAATAAGCTTTACTGTATGTTATGCAGATATTATACATTTCCCTTTTTAATATGCAGCGGATCTAGTCGGGTGGCCAGAATCTCTGAGCAAGGGGGATGGAAAGCAAGCGAATGATGGGGTTTCCTTTTGAAAAGTGGTAGTAGTTTCTTTTGAACTGATGGATTGTGATCTTTGACTGATGTCATTTGCAGTAACAATGATACAGACGTTTTGGAATAGGATTAGACAGTGGAAAGAAGGAAAAAACATTGAAGAGATAAGATGTTAAACATTTGCAGAGCATCAGTTATGTAGCTGCAGAAGAGCAACATGCTCTTTATATTTGTGCATACGGTCACCTGGCTGGTTGATACTTAACAGTTAACAATAACTGTTGAATGGTGATTCTAGTCTTGCGCAAATTTTATATGACAATGAATTATCTTAAACTGTGAACTTACAATATTGACAGATATTGATAATTTGAAAGGCACTGTGGGAATAAACTATATAGAAGTTTGAAGAGGGCATTTAAGCTACTGCTACTTCCCCCAAGTCAGTACAGGTATCCAAATTGAAGCATCTCCTACTGATGCTGTCAAACCCCTGACTAAATACCAGTATGTATATTAGCTATTCCTGTGAAACTTTTCAGGGTGTTAAAAATAAAAAATGGTGAGCTCCAAAAGGATTTTATGGAGAGAATACACGCTGAATGAAGTTCAGCTAAAATAAAGTGAGATATGTTCACTATACTTTCCTCCAACTTCATACATACACTACATTGAAGAAATCTGAGCTATCTATAATCAAGAAAAAAAGATTTTAGGATTGTAGCAGATGCTGTTTCCATGTGCAGTAGCTGTTAAAAAAATACCAGGTAAATTCCATTTTAAGATTCAGCAGGAAAGGGGTGAAAAATAAGAACAGCTAACGTTGTATTACTCTGTCATAAATTGGCAGTATGTCTGCACCTGAATATTTTGTATACTTGTGATAATCGCACTAAAAAGATCCTAGGGCTGAAAAAACACAGAAAAGTGATCAATGATTAAACAACAGCGGTAGAACATTTGGGACTTTTTAGATTAGAAAAAAAGTGATTTAAGAGGATCATGATGGATCTTGGTGTGATCCAGTAGGCACTTTTTATGATCTAATGGCATTCTTTCAGAAACTACTGTACCCCTTATCTTCTTATCTTAGTGCTAACTATTCCCATTTCTTTTACATACAATACAATTTTAGTTCCCTGAATTCTTAATATTAATTTTGATAATATTGACTTCTTGTAAAGCATCATGGTTACAATAGGATTACAAATTACAACCCACAAGATAAATGAAATATATGAACAAATCTATAGTCATTAAGTTATTATTCCAAATGTGGTCGATGCCACAGATTCTGTTCACCTTAAAGCCCCATAATTTTTGATCTAACAAAATGCTATTATCTCATTTAAATATAGCTTTTATTGTACAGTATAGGATTACAGATTAATTATTATAATTGAGAAGCTATGTAACAGGAATCTTTATTAATATATTTATTAGCATCAAATTCCTCATTTATTGAATGGTAAAGGTTTTTGGGAGTGTAACTCACTGGAATGTAAACAAATCACATGTGCAAACTACAGTTTGTAGCATGTACTTATAAAACCCAATGCAATAGCAACAATGAAGATGTTTCTCATTATTAGTGCAAAATGCTTTGTGGTAAGAATATTCTAAAAAATAAAATAGGTAATTTAGGATTACCAAACTATGAAGTCAGCCCTCTCTAACTTGGCTGCAGCGTAGACAAAATTGCTTTGTACTTGCTTTCAGACTGGAAGCAGATAATTTAATTACATTGAGAATGTAGGCCTAAAATAGTAAATTTGAGCTCTGTTTTCTAGTTCAGTCTTTTATTTGCTTTCTGAATTTAGGAGGAACCCTATCCTTGTTTGATTCTTGAGTTTAGTAAATATAATAAATAACTGTTTTTCATAAAAATATCTCTGATCAATGGAAAATTACATTTCAAAATGTCTTTTTCTAGGTAAATGTTGGAAATCTGACATTTTCTCCCAATTTTTGTTCCTCATTATGCACAGTATTACTACTTAACCTGTGAATATTATATTTTATCTCTTATTGGATCTCTTTGCATGTTTGTGGAGACTTTCTTAGTTATGTTCCTTTTTTGTAGACCTGTGAAGAGATTTTTCATCCACAAAGAAAATGTCATTAAGAAAAGGTAATTTTTCCTCTAAATAATGATTTTTTAAAAGTTAAAATACTCAGATGCTGTTATTCTAACAACCACTTTCTTTTTTTCATTGCAGTAAACATAACCATCCTCGTATTTGTTGTTGTTATATTTCTGTTAGTGCTGCATCACAACTTCCTAGGTCTCAGTGATATCTTAAAAAAAGAATTATCAGGTATTCCTCCATTTCTCTATTTTAATGTCTGATTCAGTAAAAATGTTTATTTGATAGGAAATAAATAACCTTGTATATGTTTTACAAGCAAGATTTTTTTCTGTAAAAAAACATATTGCATGGTGGCACTATTTAATTTTGATTCCATACCTTTAAAGATTATTGTCATCCATTTGCAATTCCTTGTAATTGCCCACTTTTACTATTATTTAGCATTTCTCACTAGAGGTTGTTAAAAATGAAACAGTCACTCGGTAGGATGGCTATTTTCATGGTACCTGAGCTGAAATACAGTCAGAGTTGCATCTTTTGTATCAGTTTTTTAATATAACTTAAAATATAGATTTTATTGGACATGATTTCAATCTGTAAATTTTATTGTTTGGAAATAACTTCAAAGTAATTGTTGCCTTATAAGAGGTGATCATTAAGAGATAAACATTGGTTTAAACATCACAGTAGCTAGGGTTTGTTTAACCGGGGTTTTTTAAGCCATGGTTTATTCAATAAACCATAACTGAGTTTGCATATTGTGCCATTAACCTTGGTTTACATAAGACAAAATCTGAAGTTACCCAACACGCTAAGTCAAAAATGTAATGCTGTAAATAATTATCTGTAGATTCAAATCCACTAAGATTTCAGCCAATAGATTTTATACCTGAAGCTCCTCAAAGATTGATAGTGAAAGAAAATGACAAGGAAATTCCTGTGGTCCTTACGGCATCTGAAGAAAGGCTTGGTGGTGTAATTGCAGCTGTGAACAGTATTCAGCAAAACACCAAATCCAATGTTGCATTCCATATTGTCACTCTGAATGACACTGTGGACCATCTGAGGTAAAAACTATTTATGAAATTTTATTGCCCATTTATTTAGTAGAGGATGATTTTTAGATGCAATCATGCATTCGAAAAAGATAGTTATTCTTATATTTAGTGATTAAGAAACAGTTATTTATTCTTGACCTTTAATTATTTGACCGAGGTGACTTTTAAAGCAACCACATTTTTTTTTAGCTTCCTGATTCTTGAAAAGAAAAGTAGCTGCTTTAGTGAGTACTAAGAGGTGCTACTTGTTATTCTTCTGGGTCATTTTGTAGTATGTGCAGCCCTAACCTGTTTCCTTCCTTCCTTCCTTCCTTCCTTCCTTCCTTCCTTCCTTCCTTCCTTCCTTCCTTCCTTCCTTCTTTCCTATCAGTTTGATTCAAGCAATTCTCTTGGTAATATTTTCAGAAGTGATTTGCCCTTTCCTTTTTCGTAAGACTGAGTGTGATTGACCCAAAACCACCAAGCTGACTTTGTGCCTAAGGTGGGACTAAAATGCACAGTCTACCAGTTTTTGGCATGATACCTTAACCATTACATCAAATTGGGTCTCTGTTATGTAATCCTGAATTTCAGATTGTCATACTCTGTCCTATTCTTGATTGTTACAAGATTCACCATGATGAGAAAATTCAAAGAATTATTTTGTAGGATATCACTCCAGCTATTTGATATTTCTATTTCTTAATTGTGTAGGTTGTGGCTTAGTAAAACCAGTTTAAAAAAAGTTCAATACCAAATTTTGAATTTTGATCCTGGTATGCTGGCTGGAAAAGTGCAGATAGACTCAAAAATGCCAAATTCCATAAAACCGGTAAGAACAACTGATTTATTTTACTGTAAATATAACATTTTCAACATTACTGATAATTTATGTTTGAATATTTACTTAGTTATTACACTTTTTAGGAAGTTGTCTTTTACTATAATTACTGATATAATCTTTAATTCTCTTTTGCGTATCTGATTTAGTTAGATAGTTTTGGTAATTTACTAAGGAATAATTTATAAGTTTCATTTTATTCACTAAAGTTGCCCCAAATACTTCTACTTAATCTTGCTATATATGTATCAAAGAGATTTGGTTACAGGTATCTAATGTTTGACATGTCATAATTGTTTTTATCACCTTTTGTTTCTTTCTAGCTGACCTTTGCAAGATTCTATCTACCTAATTGGGTCCCAAATGCAGAAAAGGCCATTTATTTGGATGATGATGTGATTGTACAAGGTGTGGGACTTTGCTTTATAAATATGCTTAAGGACATATAAGTTTCCTTTCAACACATAAAGCCATATCTGGTGCCAATGAGATGTGTTGAGATCTCAGTTCCCAGAAATCATAGCAATTTTCATCCTGATCCCTCTTACTACTTTTTGTAGTGTATTTCTCTGGTACACTACTGAAAGACAAGGGTAGCTCTTGAAAAAAATGTTGTGTTCTTCTGGTTTAGACTAATTAATCATGTCTTATAAAGCAAACCTACTTTATAATAATCTCTGTTTCCAGACCTTCCAGTTGTTTGTGCCAGTGGTCATATTTGTTGTTTTGAAAAATATGCTGTGTGCTTTTAGGTAGTCATAAAATATCTACTAAGGTAGCAGAAACCATCATATTTCACCAGGGTGCCAATTGAGGTTATCTGCTATCATCGTGAGACCATAGCATACTCGTGATCAATCTCCAGGCTACTTGTGTATTTGTTTTTCAGGCAGATGAGGCCATTTAGAAATAAAACTGTAGCTACCTTTAATTTTTACTTTCTGGAGACTATGTAAAAAATTGAGATCAATTTTACCAATACATTTAAGTGAAAAATAGTGGGGAGGGAGATGCACACTAGAAAAAGTAGAGAGGATGCTACCAAAGTTATTGTACATTTGCCTTGATTGAGACTTTTAATCTGGCATCTTTTAATCTTTTTTTCTGTTGTTTTTATCTGGATGTTATGTTTTTATGCTTGTTAGCTGTCTAGAATTATTTGATTAAAATGGGCAGCCCATGGGTGAGGCATATATATATTTGAACATAAAATTTTATTAGGATAATTTATTTCTAGCTGAAATAGCAGTTCATATTAGCCTAATGAGCTCATTTCTATCATGTGCAAATATGAATTGAAAATAAAATACTTTGAAATTGTTGGATGCATGATTATTGGATGCATGCCTCCATCTAAATATAATAGTATCTATTTGGTTTCCATACTCAACAATTTCAACAAGTGATTCTGAGCAGTATACATCATCACAACCATTGTCCCTGGTTGTCATATTAAGTTACATGGGGTTTTTATATATATATAACCATATTGTATTACAAAACTGCCCGAGAAATACACTTCAGTTTTAAAACGTATTTACTTTGTGACATATAAGCTTTTGTTCAAGTAAGAAAGCTCTTTGGATAGACAGATACAAGTTTTAAACTTTGCATAGCATTTATTGGAATAACATTCACTGTTAGTATATATGTTCTAAATATTGGAAAGGACTGTTGAAATATTTATGTTAAAATGACAAATTGTGGGTTTTCATTTGCTTGCAATAGCAGTTTCTCATTGTCTATGATGCATTTTCAGATGATATCCTTAAACTTTACAACACTCCATTGCAACCAGGCCATGCAGCTGCATTCTCAGATGATTGTGACTCTACTTCAAATAAGTTTTCTGTCCGTGGAGCAGGAAATCAGGTGAAAGCAGCTTGAAATCTTTTTCTCGGTTGCCAGATATATTTAATTTGTATTATATTGTAATTGTTTTTAACTGTTTTATGATTGTTTGCTGCCCAGTCATTTGGTTGACTTATAGAAATTTGAATAAATGAGAATGAAAGACCCTAGATCAGTGGTTCTCAACCTTTTTAATGCTGCGACCCCCCCAACCGGTCGTAAGTCGAGGACTACTCAACCGGTTACTTTTTCATCAGTCGTAATTGCAACTTGCTAAACAAGGACTAATTGTATATCATGTTGTATACATTGGGTAGGAATATATATATATATTATTTTTAAGAGGGCAGAGAGAGAGAGTAGAAACTATAGCCAGAACAGAATTTCCCCTATGCCCAGCCTCCTGCCTATCTGCTTTGAAATCTTTCAGGCTTAAAAATATTAAGCAGATTAGACCTGGATAGTATGTTTAGATGAGACTTCAACAAATTTAAGGTCTACATAGGTTAAACATTTCAGTTTGGAAAAAAAAGGCAATGGCAGGTCACTTCCATACCTAAGAAAAGACCATGGAAAATACATATAACCATCCAAAATCAAGTCTGACTCAGTGAGACTTTTAAAAAAGAGGAAAGGAAGCATATGTAATTGAATAAATCTTTGGAGTGGAAGTTAGGAATAAAACTGTATCTGAAGCCCAGTTTCTATATATTTTCAGTATAATTACATGGGATTTCTTGATTATAAAAAAGAACTGGTTCGAAAGCTGTCCATCAAAGCAAACACCTGCTCTTTCAATCCTGGTGTGTTTGTTGCAAATCTAACAGAATGGAAAATACAAAATGTTACTAAGCAGCTAGAGAAATGGATGACACTTAATGTTGTGTGAGTATGTTCAGAGCTTTTTTTTATTTGATATTTGAAGAATGGGACCAATTGTATGTGAGGATGGGAAGCGGAGAGATCAAGATACCCTGAAGAATTGTCTGTCTTCCTTATCAATCTTCCTGAATCTGTTGTCTATCAGGCATCCGAAAATTTTGCAAGCAGCAGTCCAAAATATTTAAAAGGGCATTATTCCTTAGGAAAACAAATCTAGACAGTGCTAAAATCATTATTGTATGGGAAATTTATCCCTACAGGGATCTCTTATTTGAAGCCAATTATCTTGTGTTCTGCTAACACTCACTTCCTTTATTGTGTTTTTCTAGCTCATTGTCTAGAATGTGGTTATTTATTATATGGCATATCATACATGGACTAGCAATATATATTAACATTTCACCTAGATTAGTAAAACATAATAAAATATAAATGTTGAAAAGATCTGTGTTCAAATACCAACGCCTAGGCCATCTAAACATTGAAGTGCAGCATTGTTTATATTAAAAAAAAATCAGAAATCACCGTATATGCCCTTAGCTTACAGCCAGTCACAATGTAATCTATGGTCTGACGTGGGACTCCCAAGTCCCACTGAGAGGAGACTGTGTCCCAATTTATACAAAGTCCTGGCAGATGTCCTGGGAGATGTGAATCCTATTCAGGGTTGTCCATTGTTGACATGGTAGTTCAAAGCCTGGCACCTTTCTTGTGGAGTTATTTTTGTCTTCTTATGTTTGGGCATTCTTCAGCAACCCATTTGACTTTCCATTGGAAATTGATGTTAAAATTGTTTGGCTGATGTTGTGCAAGTGCCAATGGGCATTTCTTGGATTTGAATCTTCTGGCTAATAAATGAGGAAGGTCGGCACCAGTAGGAATGAATTGTTCATAATTTTTTTTTATTCTCTTACTAGTGCATCTTGCCTTCATAAAGCTGGCGGTGCTATATGGTTCAGAACAGGAAACCAGCAAATCGGGAGTGTTTTAATATATCCACTTATAATTCTCATGGTGTCATTGTATCTGGCATCTAACTTACTAGTATGTCAGCTGTTAATCCACAGTATTCTGCTATGGGGTAGACCAACCCTAAGGCTGATGACTTGAGGGTGGCAACTGAAGCTCCCCATTTAGTTCCACATAATTTCTGGAGTATATTGTCCCTAGTATTGATTTTTGCCCCTTGCTGGCTTCAGGTTTATCTTATAGGAGAGAGTCCAGTCCAATGTTACTCCAAGATACAATGTGAATAGTAAGGGTTTGCCATTGAAAATTTAAAAAAAATGCAAAAATATGTAAATACATTAAAAACAAAATTGCAATCCACTCAAATTATGCATCTATGAAAATGGTTTTTCTTGCTAATAATAACGCTTCTGGTTTAGCTGGTAATATGCATTTTCTTAATCACTGACTAGAGAAGAGATATATAGCAGGACTCTTGCTGGAAGTATCACTACACCACCCCTGCTCATTGTATTTTACAAACGACATTCAAAAATTGACCCTATGTGGAATGTTCGCCATCTTGGTAAGTAGAGAGAAAAAAAACAATTTCACATTAATTTTGTGCCTTTATCAAATTGGAACTAATTTTTACTAATCAAATGGGTTGAGATTATAATCCCTTTCCCCCTCCATCCAGTACTAATTTTAGAGGTTTGGGATGAAATGGGAACATGTATTATTTTCCTTGCTGTTTCTCATGCATGCTCAAAATCTGTGAAATGAAGCGGGGTTTTTTTATGGTTTGTGTGAAGCTGGAGGGAACAGGCAAAACCTCCACTATGAGTTGAAATTCACTAGTAGGATGTTTTTCATCCCCTGCAATAAAATGCTTATTTTTTCTTTGGGAGAGTAACATTTACATTGTCTAATTAAGAAAATGTGACCTTTTTAAAATACAATGTACTTGAAACTTCTGTGGTATTTCAATATGCACTTATTGATTAGTGCAAGAATTTCAGCTTTAGGACTCTAAAATAAGGCTTTATGTCTAGTTTTGAGGGTAGTGAGCAGTGAGAAAGCAACAAAGTATTTCTGATGAAAATTTCAATATGCGAATCTATCAAATGGTTAGTTCCATCTGTGGTTGAAAACTGCAGAAACAACTTCTGCCTCATGATTTCTTGTTATATTTCTTTTTCTTATTCCATTTAAAGGTTCAAATGCTGGCAAAAGATACTCGCCACAGTTTGTGAAAGCTGCCAAATTACTCCACTGGAATGGACATTTCAAGCCCTGGGGGCGAACAGCATCTTTTGCAGATGTTTGGGAAAAATGGTACATTCCTGATCCTAGTGGCAAATTTAACCTGATTCGCAGGCACAGTTGAGATTATGCAGCACATTAATAAAGACTTAACAGCTACATGCTTTTCTCAGGAAACCTGTAAGATCAGAGTGAAATCATACTGCTTAATGTACACTAAATTTGAGAAAGACTTGAAATTGTATGGCTGAAGCAGCAGCTTTGCGCCTTCAAGTACAAGATGAAGAATAGCTTGACTCAACAACAGGTAGTCTTCAATTTATGACCACAGTTGCGGCTGGATTTTCCCTTACAGGTTGTTGTGGTCATAAATCTAGTCAGACCCAATTTTATGAAAATTTTCATGATGGTTATGAAGCAAATCACGTGCTCCAGTTCCCTCATGGGCACTTTTTTTGCTGGAATTTTACAACTAAGGTCACATATTGCAAAATGATTGTAGGATGTTGCACCTGGTTATAAATGTGAGCCAGTTGCTAAGCATTTACATAGCAGTTATGTGACCATCACAGGGTGGTGTAATGATACAGATCACAAGTCACTTTTTCTGAGGCTGGCATAATTTTGAACTGTTTTAAATGAAAAGCAGTTAAATTGAGGACTATCTGTACTCAGCTACACCAGATGAATTCTTCCAGACAAACTTTTATAAATGAAATATTAGAAAATGAACTTCATCTAGGAATCAGACACTTACTCCTAGGTATCTGCAATATTATCTTGCATAGCTATTTTTTTTAAGAAAAGCTTCTTCCTCTTAGCAGTAACCCATGAACAGTTAGAACTTTTTCTCTGTAGTATTTAGTTAAATGTTTACACTTATTTAAATCTTTTGTAGATTTAATCTGTTTTTGTAATTTAGTAAATGATGGAATAAACTGCCCAACAACACTAGAGCAACCGGTTTAAATTCATGGAGAAAGCTTGAATTGTTTGTATGCGAGTTCAGATTAATCTACATTTGATAACTGTATTAAAAAGTAAAGTCTTACAATATATTACTTCTTCCAGTAAATGGACTCAGTTTCTTGAGCATCTATTTGGGAGATGCACCAATTAAAAGTAAATTTTGATCTGTTACTAAGAAAAAAGTTTAGAACAGAGGTGTACAAGTCTGAGCGTCCCTCCTCCACAAGTTGCTGCTAAACTACAATGCAACTAGAGAAACTTATTGGATATAGAAATATTAAATGTGTTGCATAGAACAGGGCTTTTCAACCAGTGGTACGGGTACCACCTGTGGTACATTGGCACCTGGCAGGTGGTACGCGACCATCCTAGAAAAGTGGTAGCAGGGGAGGGAAATGAACTGAACCAATGGCAGCACCGCACAAGCCTGAGTGAGAGATGGCTGGAGCTGCAGGGCTGAGCAGAAGTGCCAGGATCAGCACTTCTTCAGGGCTGTCAGGGCTCAGTGGAAGCGCCAGGATCAGTGCCGCTTTCCAGCTCATCGGTGCTTCTTTGGAGCTGTCAGGGCTCAGTGGAAGCGCCAGGATCAGTGCCGCTTTCCAGCTCATCGGTGCTTCTTTGGAGCTGTCAGGGCTCAGTGGAAGCGCCAGGATCAGTGCCGCTTTCCAGCTCATCGGTGCTTCTTTGGGGCTGTCAGGACTCAGTGGAAGCGCCAGGATCAGTGCTGCTTTCCAGCTCATCGGTGCTTCTTTGGGGCTGTCAGGACTCAGTGGAAGCGCCAGGATCAGTGCTGCTTTCCAGCTCATCGGTGCTTCTTTGGGGGTGTCAGGACTCAGTGGAAGCGCCAGGATCAGTGCCAGGCTCCACCTGGAGCTTGGTGCTGATCCTGGTGCTTCTGAGCCCTGAAGAAGCACCAATCAGCTGGAAAGGGGCACTGATCCTGGTACTTCTGCTAAGCCCAGAAGCATTGATCATATGGAATGTTGCAGCATCTCCAGGGTCTTGTGATTTACATTCAGATGCTTGGCAACTGATTCATATTTATGACGGTCACAGTGTCCCAGGGTCACGTGGTCTGCATCCACCCAGACGGGGGGGGGGAATATAAATCAAACACCCCACCCCCGCTGCCAATCCTCAACAGAAATGCTCACAACAATGGAAACCTCGGACAGGAGGAAGAGCATGGATGGGCGGGCAGGTAGGTGTCTTGCTAGTTGTGGTTTGGGGGGGCACTTTTTTCAGTGCCATTGTAACTTCAAACAGTCACTAAGCAAACTGTTGTAAGTTGAGGACCACCTGTACTTCATCACTTTTTTCCCTTTTTTGGGGGGGGGGGTCATCAAGTTTTTGACACCTTGCTAGGCGACTGGTGGTACTCGATTGTTGCCATATCTTAAAAGTGGTACAATGGGTGAAAAGGTTGAAAAGCCCTGGCATAGAAGAATGTGATCTCTGGTGGGCCATCCAATAATTAGTATGATTCTTATTCAAAAATGAGTTATTTTTGTCTTTCTAATTAGGAGGTATTAGGAAGACCTTGTAAATCTACTCAATATGTCTGTGGCTGCACTGCTTACATATTGACCAGGAAGACGTGTCACAAATATATGTACACTTTATATTTTCTAATTACACATGTATTTTCCTCAAAACTGCATTATGTGTTCCTATATACAAACATAATTATGCCTTATTAAGATGGAACGGAGGCTACAGGATTCTGAGAAGTGCATAATTTAAAAAAAGAAAAAGAAAAGAAGCAGCAGCAATCTTCACCCTATTCCTTTACCCTTTTATAGGCTGCAACCTTCATCTTAGTGGTATGCATACAGCTGTAGAGAGAGGGGGGAAAACCCCAAGAAAAATGATTTTCATTCCACCATAGGATTTTCTGCAATGCAGTTCAGTTTTTTTTTCAGTCTGGAAAGCAGAAAGACATGTTATCCATACTTGCTCTATTTAAAACACAAGAAGCCCTCCATAGGTTACAGTCTAAATTGTTGCTTCATTCTGCTTTTATAAAACATTGGTTTTACTTCCGATTATAGTACATGTGATCAAAGCATTTACTGAAGTATCTTTCCTTATCAGCTGCTGTTTCCAATATATTTACAAGAATCTGATGTTCGGTAGCTTCAAAAAACCGTAGGATATCAGAATAGGAATGCATTCCAGAATGTGAAAAATACTTGGAATTTTGTCATATTTTCTTCACATGTAATCAGTATTGAAGTCATAGGCATCATCCAGGTCACTGGTTTTGAGTTCTTTATCATCTGAAGAAAAGAAAATAAGTTCAGAATATTTTTGCCTTTTCTATTTAAATATTTGCTCCTGTGAAATTTGTAGGTTTAATATATACCTATAGATAACTTGTCCAAATTGGCATTCTTTGCTTTCAATTCTTCAGAGAGGGTTTGACTACTCACTAATCCACCATTTTCCTGAAACAAGATGATTAATAATTGCTATATTAACATTAGTGATATAGGAAAATCAGATGCAGTGCATATATATTCCTATATACTTTAGGTTAGTGGTTATGTTCTCCATTTTAAAGATATTTAACAGGGTTTTAAATATCTAAACATCCATCCTTCATGATCTGAATGATGAACCCACAAACTTTATTTTGAAATTGTTTAGTATTATAAATGAAGTCCCATGTCACTTGGATGGGGTTTTGCCTGTGTAACATGACTTCTTTCTCCTTCCTTGCACACTGTTCAAGATGTATTCCTCCTGGTTCATTCCCAATTCAGCCAGGGAAAGACCTCACTGGACAGCATCCTAAATATCTTAAAAGTTCAACCATTACCTCTTCCACATCATCAAGGTCACTTTCATCATCCTCAATTTCTTCAGTTAATTCTTCATCATTATCTTCCGCATTCTCTGATTCCAGGGCTTCCTCTGGCTGTTCATTATCTTCTTCCATGATGCCATCCGTGAAGCCAGGAGATTGGAAGACAATAGTGCTTGCCTGGTTAGGGTATTTGTTAGCTTAAAAAAAAAATATTCCCTTAAGAGACTGACTGAACAAACAGAACTTTCTCGGGCATTTTGCCAAAAGATAAACTGCCACAGAAGTGAATTCTGCTGCAAGACTTTTAAGATTATAAGTTTGTTAGCAAAACTGCTAATTAGCAAGACTATTTGCTATTTTTTTTTACTGAAGGGGGAAAAAAAATAAATGGAGGAACATTAGCTGCATGTAGTCCTTAATTTATAGCCTATCGCTTAGCAACTGTTCAAAGTTACTAACATCCCCAAGGCTACTTATGACTATATGTCTTCCTTGCTATGAATATTCCTAATAGTTTATCAAATATATTTATCACATCTCTAAAGCCACCCAACTCCATTACAACTCCAAAATTTCTTAAAATTTTGTCAGATTTAACACTGCACTAATATTATAAACAGACCTTAAATCAAACATCAAGTATGTACTTCTAGACAAATAGGTTTGCTACCCTAAGTAATATGAAAAGAAACAAGGGCAATTAGAAACACCCTTCCACAACAGGTATTTCACCAATTGCCAAATTGCATACAAGAGACTTGAATGATTGAAACAAGGAAAAGTTATACTTTCCCCTCCCCCCCTCCAAGCACCATGAACAAAAATTATTTATAACTCCTGATGAATTATAATGTTCATGAGACAATTAGCACTATAAATTTGCATTTTTAAGTAAAGCTCAACAAGAGTTGGGATAAGCTATTTCAAGCAAAAGAGTATTTAATTAAATTTAAATAAGTTTAATTATTTCTAGTATATAGAAATAATTTTATGTAGGAGAAAGCAATAGATGGAGAAAAGAGTTAACATTCCTATGTAAACTAATTGTAATTTGGGATTAAGTTGAGGGATATGCTGGTATCTTTAAGGTATTAAACTTTGTTTTTCCTGAAATGTGAAACACATCCTACATAGCAACCAATTTATTTTTTTTCATGGAATTCAAATATAGCCTCTGGAAAAAGTTTATTCTGTAATGTGTAAACCAGCTTGATTTCCAGTAATTTATACTATGTCATTATGGATTTTGTTCTTTTATGTATATAAGATGAGAGAAGGTTAGGTTAGACTAAGCTTACCTTTTATAGTATTTTTGTTATCTTCTTCCAGTTCCTGAAAATTAAAACCCTCCTGCACTGTTGCTAGTCCTTCCCTGGAAAGATTTGGAGATGGAGTCCATGGTTCAGGAGGTCGAGAATAGTAACTAACTCTGGCACTGTAAAAAAGGATATTTAAGAGAGATTTTCACCCTTGAATAAAAATATAAAAATGCCTTAGATGAAATAGTTGAAGGTCTTAAATTTGCTTTCTGCATATACATACATATAAGGTAGTCCTTGTTTAGCAACTGACTCAGATAGTGATCCTTTGCAATTATGATGGTGCTGAAACAATAACTAAGCGGCCAACGTGTACTTATGACCATTACAGCATCCCTATCTCAGTCAGATGTTCAGCATTATAGCCACTATGGTATCATCTTGTCCAGTGCCTGTCCCAGTTCTCCAGTGCAGGGCAGAGAGGTTACTTAAACAAGCTATCTCTTCCTCAGCTACTTTTCTCTGCAGCACAGCACTTCCCTAAAAAGTGCTAACTAGAAGTTAACAAGTGATCTTAATTAATTGATTAGAATCCTCTGCTGGCAGTTGCTGCCTGATAATGACAAAATCCTAATCAATTTCACACCGAAAGCCTTTGTATGTCACCCTGAGCTGCACTAGGTATTACTTTCAATGTCTTTCTCCACTGTGTGTACCTTTTACTTTTTTGTAATCCCTCGCGCTCCAATGAATGTAAATACATATATTAACTTCCTTTTACTAATTATCTCAGCACAGAGATAAACATCCCAAAGAACAGAAGGGGGGGTGAATGGCTTTAAGATTTGCCCCTTTAACCACCTTCCTCATCAGTAGAGTTCTGGAATCCCACCATTTGGATCATCTGGATATTTGGGATTGTACCCTTCTGATGCTGTTCATTCAGGAATAATGTACTAATAAACTATTTCCAAGATTTATTACTATCTTGGCATCTCCCTTAGTGTTTTCATTCTTTGTATTCACCATGCAGGTTCT